ACCGTATCATCCTTCAAGGTTTTGGCTAGTAATAGCTCGATATCCTTGAAAAATTCCCTGTTACTATATCAAGGCGCTGTATAACACCCTATACATGCATTATCTATGACCCAAAATGGTTTACAAATAGTTTTCTACATGTCAATCCACTTGCTCTTACAGAACACCATGCAGCGACAAATGGCAACCGACCTTAGTGTAGTAAGACAAACCTGTCGGGCAGTGACCGATATTTGTCTGTATGTAGTACAATCCACTTGTGATGTCATATGCCATGAAAATGCTGACAAAATTATATAAATATACCACTTATTTAAAATGAATGCCCAATGTGGATATTAATTATGTTTTATTTTTTTTATTTTGATTTACAGTTTGATTCCACACCGTATTTTCAGTACAAGTGTGGAATTTTCAGCATGGATATCGGTAGCCCAAATTTAGGCGGACCATAGATATCGGGTGTGCGCCGGCAGGGGATCGAACCCCGTACCATGTGCATGGTCGGCGAGAGTCCTAACCACTGTGCCACCGACGCACAAGAACAAAATTCAATACGGTAAACACCAAAGTTATATGGCAGAATTGGGTCCAAGCTTTAGTTTTTTTCAAGTATTTGTGATCCATCCGACTAAAACTTTGGTTTTATTATTTAATGGAAGACCATTTTTCTATATTTCGTAGTTTGGTCTACTGAATGACTAGCTAGCAGTTTTTTTCCACAAACTAAAGTCAAAAACGACGGAAACCACGTAAATTCACAATAAACCAAATTTGTGTGATTTAAACAATACTTATCCATTATGAATTATTTAAATTAATCCCAGCGTGTTTAAGAAAATCAAAACAAGATTTTTCTGAACGTTTCGCTATGTAAGCCACAGCCTCTTCAGCAGAAGAAGCTGAAATCATGTATTGATTTTCTTAAACACGCTGGGATTAATTTAAATAATTTATAGTGAATTAATCTGACTCGGCGCTCAAATTATCGGTGTATTCCTACATAGATATTTAGAAATATATTATTGTTATCTTCATGGGGCTTCGTTTGGGTTTATCAGAAATGTTTTAAGTGCTTGGGTCCTTTTGCGAACACATCCGCGAAGAATGCCTAAAAATAGTCTTCCTTACATATTGCCTAAGATAAAGAATCTTAAAACGGGGTGATGTCGAGTTGTGGGCTAGTCGAGACTGAATAAAATATGCCTCCAAAACAAGGCACTATAAACGGCCGACCACTTGAAAATATCTTCCACACTAAGATAGACATGGAAATCAGACCGGGAGGCGACCAGCCGTTTTATCTAACTCAGGTGCCTCCATACTAAATTACAATTCCTATGGGCTAAGGTGCTACAGTCTTATTTGTTCAAAACTGGCCTTTAAAAGGTCGTAGGAATACATTCCGTAGATTGGTGAGCTGGTCACATCAAGATTTCAGGCCACTTGATCTTCGATGGGTAAATACACCATGATAAATCTGAGAGAGTAAAGAGAATCTGTGCCATCATTGTTATCAGTGAATTGATATTTCGGAAGTTGTAGTCACGTCCATGACATTTAACCTCCCTGTCCCACGTAGCGACGTTCATACAGATATTAAATATGTGAGATAGAAGGTTCAATATTTGCACCACCCTATGACTTTTAGAAAGCGTTCCTAGACAACGGATCTCTTTGGCTGACCAATATCATTGTGAAAGTACGTAGGAATATTTGCATTAGCTTTAGAGACCAAAGGAAGATACCAGATCATATGGTTGTCAGGCGTACTGCTGTTGATCCAGTCAGCCATTTGATAAATTTGCATGATTATTATATATCATACAACTAATTGTTCATGCAGAGACAGAATGGACACATGAATTTCACCATTCAAATGCTCTGGACAAGTTTCCCTTGCAGACGTTAAGTTCGGCTTTGTGCTATCAAATTCTAATATTATGCTTTACACCCTATTCTTCACTATTATGTTTATTGGAAAATTTTGTTGTTTATCTTAGACTCTTCCAAATACAATAAATCCTATCTGCTAACTCGTTGAATTCAAATTCTCTCTAAACACCTTCAGTCCTCCTCAGCCATTGCGTGCTTGGTGTTTGGACACCTGATAACGGCACAACAGAACGTTCGTGATGTGGTAACTTGACGAGTTTCTTGAATAGCAGTTCTTCGGAGTCTTCAATATTCTGGTCTTAACAAATCCCAGTTAGGGACAATTTTGTCCTTCTGTTCGGCGATCACGTTGAAGTTTGGGAGCTAGTGTCTTCGTTGGAAGTTTCTGGTGGCATCAATGAACGTTTGGTCGCTTATAAGGTAGTTAGATGGGAAAGTAAGCCTTGTTATGACAGCATAATGATTCTAGAATAGATAAGACTATGATTCTGGGTCATAATATTCCATGACTGGTAAAAATAACTAGCGAGTCAGAGACAGAGCAATAGCTGAATCGTTCAGAAGCCAAATGTATTTGGAATCATGTTTATCAGGCCAGTTAAAGATTGTCTAGTCGGTCAGTATGTATAATCATCTGAACATGAAATAACAGTGTACAAGTGCAGGAATGCCCCACCATTTAGGTAAGTTTCAAAAGCAATCTAAGAAGGCGAATTTCAAAAACTAATGTTAAACCGCAAATGACTTTCACAGCTAAATGCCGTATGTTTAATTGATGAAATATAGGAACTGTGCATCACATTTCACCAAATTTTAATACTGATTTCATAAGCCAATGCAAATCAAGTTCACTTCTGGGTCTTTTTGATAGTATCTTTTTAGCAAAGCTGTGAAAGTGCAGGCTTGTTGATTGTGAAATGAGTCTCACTTGAACTTTACAGGATTCTTTGAAGAACGCTTACCCAGCAAACTTTAATTTCACTCCTAGGTGCTCCTCCTGGAAAATATTAAGAGATACAATACAAGGCACAACCCCAAAAAGGGCTAATAATTACGTAAAGCGATAACGTGTGCAAGGAAACGGCCTGAAAATTTCTTAGGATCACCATTATCCCATCTACTTTCGCTCTGCTTTTCCAAAATCTAAGTCACTTGGTAGTCACATGATTTTTGTGTACACAGAGGGAAATTCGTGGCAGCTTAAACTCATCCCCCGGGTCTTCAGGCCCCGAGTGGTTGACCGCATGACTCTTAACTCCGAGTTAGTAATAGCAGCAAACTGCTATCTATTTCACTCAGAAGTGGTCTCCTGTCATGGTGATATGTCAGATTTAGATACATGCCGGACCAATCCTACCGGAGTGAATATCGTGCTGCGCAGTGACGAACGTGTTTAGATAAAGGAAATTAAATTCACAGTGTTCAAGCACTAATTTCACCAAGTTCATCCCGATATCTTTTTATGCAAACGTCTCTCAATGAAGTGAACTGATGTCGTCATCATCGGGTCCTCGAATTCATGAAAGTAGTAGGGCATCACCAATCCTATTTTCATCAGTCGTTTTGCTTACCCTTATTGTTGGCGACAAGAAGTTTCAGCCAGATCACAATTACCTGTGTTTCACAACTAGAGGCCTGCATGAAGTAGATGATCACGTAAGGAACAGAGACTTATAACTTTGTAAAGGAGGTTCAAAGTTTTTCACCACGATCCCTGTTTATATGTCCCTGAGGTTACTAGAAGGGGGATATTTGAAACCACAGTATGTGTATAATCACTTTTGCTGATACCACTGTTTTGTCTCGGGTGGAGTTATCAAGTATATGTGCCACATGCTACTGCAAACTTTACCTGATTTCGCAGTATTGATACGTGCTTTACTGTAAACGAAGGCAAGAAATGTGCCATTTTGAGCACTTACAAGCTATTGTGTCAGTCCTAGTTTGCTCCACAGCAATACAACGTTGAATTTAGACGTTTTACACTGGTAGGATTACCAGTGAGGATGTCTCTAGTTTCCATGGTCTTTGAATCCATCTATGGATAGTGTCGTTAATAGCGTTTACCTACATTTCAATTTCTGTCACAGATTCCATCAGAAAGTGGCCAGCACGGTTAAGGTACCTTGTACGTACTTCAGGAGTAAGCCAAATAAATCCCAGTCTACATTTTTCGGTCGTTACTCATCTGGGAAATTACCAGCAATAAGGGGTGGAACATATAATTTCGCCGTTTTCTAAATGATGTAGGTCGGGGCAAGTATTTAGAATATCCGAAGGTACAGTGTGACTACTATGGGTCCGAAGGTCCGAACAAACCTCAGCTTTATACTTCAAGAGTTTTTGGGTACTAACTTGCGTAAATAACGAAGTCACCGAACACCTTGAAAATATTTTTTTGATTGTAGCCTAATTCCACACAGTATTCTTGGGAGAAGTATGGAATTTTCAGCATTTGATATCAGTAGACCAAATTTTGTAGGCTGAGCATTGATATTAGGTGTGTGTTGGCAAGGGATCGAACCCCGGACCACAAGTATGATCGGCGAGCGTCCTAACCTCTGTGCCACGGACGCACATATCATATAAGTATAAAATTTGGGCACAGTGGCAGAGTATAACGCCATTATATATAAGATTTTATGTTGATAATTTACAGAGTGTTATGCAGTAATATTTACTGATGATGCTTCGAGCAGAAATTATTGCTCATAATCATAACAAGACCGTATCATATCATCCGAAGTGAGCAAACCAGGAAATATGTAACTTCACTGGCTGCAATATTCGTGGTCGACCATGTTTTTTCCCTTGGCTGAATTTATTTTGTTGCCAGAAGATAATCTCAGGCAACTGACACTTCATAGGACTACAGTGAAGAGAACTACCGCAATCGATACTTCTGCCTGGAGATGTATACTTCACGAAAGTTCTCTTTCTTCGAGATGTCAAAATCAACGAAACACATCACGTATGGAAGATAAATAGCACATTGCAGGTCGTTCAGTTAGTAACTCAACAGTAGTTTACGTTAGGTTTCAGGCTTACATAAATATTTAGGTTTGGCTTTTGAACAGTGACCTTGATTGTTTGTATCCATCAGAATAGTTGATCACAGTTCAGTGTTCATTTCAGTTTTCTGATTTTGGTTTGTCAGGAATTTAGACGAAGTACGGGGAAATTACTTCGTAACATACAAATCAGAAATCGACTTTAGACTTCAGAATGAATACTAATAAGGATTGTGCTTCTTGTGGTGAAATTGTATATCCTTTCGAAGTGATTAGGTGTTTTGATCAGGTTAGTGAACATTTTGTACTGATATTCAACAATTATTAAGATAAATAGTTATTTATTTCTGTCCCGCACTACTCTGCTGTTTAATTATAGTGCTAGGTGGAAGTCAATTTGTATTGCAAGAATTGTACTTGAGGATATACTCAAGTAAAATATTATCTATATTTTATTTTCCTTGTGTTTGAGTAAACAGAATGGTGCCTCAGATTTCAGTCAAACTCCACTGAGTTACGTGACATTTATTTTCCGAGTATACAATCTCAGTGTTTATACTGTGTTCATGATTCATTTTCCCTATAATTTATGAAATGTGTCATCTGATTATTTAGTCTTACTAGCTTAAATGTGGCCTGCCAGCAAAAGTGATCGACCACTTAGGGATCGTGAATTTACAAGAGCCAAGACAATATAGTAATCAACCTTCATCCTTTTGTTGTCTAACATGTTTCCATGTATTCCGTATCATCCTATACTGTATTTAAATTTTATACAACACAAATATGTTAATAAATCACCTACAGATGTAAAATTTGCAACTAATAAACATCTATTTCACACGAAATACGATACATCTATAGTTAGCATACAAGTATGTCACGTATTCGTATCCTTTTCGTGTGTAAATAATTTGTGCATATTTGGATGCACACATAAATTTAGGTAATGGAAGTTCTCTATTCTGACAGATTTCTAAAATGTATGGTTTATTGCTGGTACCTTCAACGTCTCATGAATATCAAATAAATTACACAAATAAAGGCAATTTAAAATCACATTTAATATTTCTTGTCATAGTCTGGTGGGAACACAAAAAGTAATACTTCGAATATAAGTAGCCTTAATTTCCTTGTTGTAGTCTACTCTTTAGAAGTACATTGCTGGAGAATGCTGAGGAAGAATGAAATTTTTGACGTTCTTTATTTGATCTTTATATATCAGAAAGTATATCTCAAAGTCTTACCTGAAACCCCTACCTACCGCTCTACACTTATAAAAGTTGTAGTATGCATTATAACCTTCACACCAATACAGCATGCTTAAACAGGTTGGGCATTCAGCTATTCATTTTAATCTTCTTGAGGAAAATCAAATGATAGAATCTCGTTTTCCCTATTGTTTACATGTCTCCACTAGTGATATTATTTGTTGATGCTTTGTGTGTACCCCTGGCATGAAAATATCAGATTAATCGAAATGACGCTGCTTTTTGTTACTTGAATGAAAACAATAATCTTGAACAAACGGCTGTATTCATTTCTGAGCTATATCATTAGTTGTCTGTCACCTACTCACTCTGAAACAAAATATAACGTTACGCTGTCATTAGCTGATGGCTATACAACTCAAAACTCAAAGATTCATGCCTTCACAAGAATGAGAAGGTTCACTATGGAGAAACTTTGGCATCACAAATATGTGGTTAATCACTATATCGTCAGGCAATAACACTGATTGCATCTAGCCATTATTACATCCGTTTAATGTATTCACATTCTATAACTGGAGTGTCCGAAATGAAATAATGCAGTATTTTTGAGCTGCTCCAGAATTAGTTATTTACTTGAAATGAATTATGCATGAGTAATGCACAGTCTGTTAATATCATTACAACTGCTTGAGATAACTGATAAGTAAATTTTGCGTAGTAATTGAAAGGAAAATTCGTTCCAATGCGTGTAGTGTTCTATATTATTTTGTACATTCAAAAGAGAATCAGATTTGAATCAAATTGTTGAAATACTAAGTCATTTCTTGATGATGATACTGTTAGTAATTTCGATACATGCAGAATTGCACATCTTTTTCATGATAACAAATATCATGGCTTAAATATAACAACAATTTTATTCTTCATAAGTTTTTTTCGCTTTCTCTGAATAATAATTTTAATTCAGGGACTACAATGTAATGTGAATTTCCACACAATAATCGGAGACAATGTCCAAACCTTCGGGGGAAATAGGCCCCAGATAATGTGAACATTAAATACTTTTACAGTGCATTTAACCGGAAACACAAGGCCATGATTCCGTCTTTCAGCTCTCTGTACTTTGCATTCTCCACTTTTTCTTTAGCCTTATTTTTCTCTGAAATTGACTGAATCATTTTGATAGATAGATCTAATTTCTTCACCATCTTCAACGGTCATATAAATCGCATGAGAATACTCCTTTGTTTCCCTTTCATTCATCACTGAATCATGATTTAATCGTTTTATTTCGCAGCTCACATGCATGATTACACCAAACTTCCACCAGATTACACTTTTTGAAAACTCTGAAATGTCAACGGCACAAATTTTGATCCAATTATGGTGGAAAATATGATTTCACCACAAGCTCTATTGAGACACAGTATATAATATGGCCAACTGATTCTTACTAGGCTTTTCCAATTGATAGTTAAAGGCGTCTCAAAACAATGCATCTGATCACTTCTATCTACACGCAGTTAGCTTTTAGGACACGACAAGTTATTTAAAGGATTTCCAGATACTGTTTGGCTTTTTCCCCTTTCGTTAGTGTCGATGAAGAAGAGATTAGTGTGGGACTCTAAACGAGCAGCAGCAGATCACCATATTTGACGGTCAACAATTTGTGGCTTAAAATACCATTACTATCCCTCAAACGTGGAAATCAAAAGATATCTTACTCCTCCTAATTTAGTTCTCAGCAGAAATTTGAAGTCAGGAACGATAAGCAATGCTCTTTTGACCACGTATCCTACCTCTTTGGCTTCTATTTTTAGTTTTATTTCCCTCACTTTTCTGGTGTTTCATTACATTTTACAAAATTCATTTCTTGACTTCCTAACAGTATCAATAAGATTGTTATGTTTTAAAAACTGTATCTAACACTTTATACTGACTACATATACTTCCCTTTTTGAACTTGAATACAGAAAAAACAATGGTTTGTGCAGAATAAGATGGTGCTATCATTTATTTCATCGGATTTTCATTAGCTGCTTACACCCCGGAAATTGTTGTGTACATAAACTTAATAATTTCTTTAGGCTGTACGCAGCTGACGAGAAACCGGTGATATAAATGATTAACCGTGTTGTTCAGCACAAACCGTTGATTTTGGTGTATTCTGACTTCCTGTCTTAGGAGTGTATATTTGAAAGAAACAGGTATTAAAAAACTTCGCTGCATTTGCCTCGTTTATTCTGAGTAAATTTAACTATTATTAACTTAATTATGATGTCATTGGAGGATGTGCGATTCTCATTCTAACCACTTTGTTGCAGCTTAGCATTTCGGTTATCATTATTGTCTGCTATACTTCGGTTAAGAGAGAAAGAGAGAGCTGTATAAAGTGTACCTATTCTCTCCTTGCTATTCCACATCTGCTTATTATTTATATCTACATTCCATTGTCCTAATCTTTTTTTCAAAAAAAAACATTTTATTTTCACTTAACATTGAAGTAAAGACAAATGCTGACAGTTATACATTTTTATCGATAATCGATAATGTGTGTTTTATACATTGAAGTTATTGCTGGTCACCAACTGTTCTCACTTTATGACTTTTCTTACTTTCTTTTCACATGATTTATAAAGCAATGGCACAGAAAGTGTTTTCGTTGCCAACACTGCGGAATGGCGCTGAGTGTATCCAACTATCATGGATATGATAAGAAGCCATATTGTACAGCGTGAGTGTGTTTTTGAAATTTGCTAATTGTAAATAGTTAACTACTGTAGATTTCTGACTGTCGTATCCATATTATGTTTCAGCTTTATAATTTAGGATGAAGTATAGACTGTTTTGAGTTTTTTTTATCAGCAGTTCTTCGGATTGTAGTGGCAAAAGACGGAGAAATCCCGCTTCTTGGTATAGGTATACACACACCTCACCACATAACCTAGGGTATCTAAAATTGTACTTTATGTGAATTTTCAAATATGATCGGTGTCAGAGGCTAAAATTATTCTGAAGAAAAGGATTATAGGGAAATCGATTAATTTGTGCCTTTGTTCAGTCGGTCTGTAACATATGTGTCAGAATACAGCCTTAGTTAACATGGTGGCAATCAAATTAATTATATGATTCTCAGTGGGTGTCAAATTTTACGATTCAATTCTCATCATTTTATTTAGTCATCATTAAAATTCATCAAACCTGTTTTGTTCCTTTTTGACGCTCACAGTTTTTACTTTTATGTACGTTAGAAGCACACATATTATCTGTTATGTATTGCATGGAATCTGAGGGGAAATTCAAACACTAAGATGATTAACTATGAGATACTCAAACAATAAGGAAGAAGAATTTTGTGCATAACGTTTAAGCTACTCGTGAGTAGCGTAGGTTTGAATTGTAATTCATTGGTCGGAATACTGGAAACAGTTTTCTTTATTTCTTCTTACTTAAATATCTCTTTCAGACACAATCCGAAACCAACTACGTTCACTTCTGTCTACGATACACCAGAATTATTGAGAGCAACAAATAACACAAAAATGTTTAGCAGTGTAAGTGTTGTACAAACTTTTCCCATCCATGTCACTTTAACTATTTGCAGGATAACCTGTCTCTCTTCCAACTGTTGAATGTGTGGGATAAACTCTGTGTTGCTGGATGAGTCAAACATTCATAACAAATGTATTTATGATACATAAATTGTACGATATTTCAAAGTGATTTAGTCTAAATTCAAAGTTGTGACTCATTAGTGTACACAGCAAAATTTTTACTAGTCGGCCCAAAGGTCAATCCTTTACTTCACTTACTCTAATTTTGCAATGCAAGCGGTGTGAATGCATCCCATACAATCTGAATAGTTTATTTCTTTATACAAGTGAAGTTGCCTTTTGAGTGGCACGTTATACGACTTATTTGTATTTTGAAACATATCGTGAGCGTATAACCTTGATGGTAGGTAAATGACATTGGTCCGCTTAACTGATCTTCAAACTAGTTGCATTTATTCACACCTAGGGTTTGCAGTTTTATGCTTGCATACTGCCAAAGAGTCCCAGAGTAAAGCGAGACA